GGCTCTCCGAGTTCTGCCCAGTCTGTGTAAATCTCTGGATGATTATTGATTGTGGGAAGAGGAGAATTTCCAGTCTGATGTGAAGTCAGAGCTTCATGCTCATCCTAAGACACTGCCACCCCCACCGCACCAAGGGCGGGGATGGTCGTCTTCAGACCGATGGGTTAACCTCAGTTCAGGCTGCAGAATTGCCACAACCTCAGCCCGCAGCCGAGGCCCCTGCTGGCTGCTCCGGCACCTGTAGATTAATATTGATTTGTTGTTCCACTCAGACACACATTCACTGATTGATTCTTATATGTGCCCTGACCGGGGATCGAACCTGCAACCTTGGCATATCCGGATGGTGCTCCAACTGAGTTACCCAACCAGGGCAGCACCTATAGGTTTAGGGAGACCTGATGCCGCCTGCCCCTCGCTCTAAGGGGTGATCTGGGGAGCTCCCCACAGGCCCTGGCCCTCCTCTTCCCCTCACTGGGGACTGCCCTTTCCCAGCGGGGTTCCCTGGGGCTCCCCAGCTCCTTCTAGCCATCCCCTAAGTATGTTCTGAGGTCCAGCACTCCCTCCTCACCTCTGCGTCCCCTCTCCCTCCTCTGTGATGTCAAGTTCCTTTCGAGATAGGCTAATTCTCTGGCCTTGTCTTCCTCATTTTCCGTTCTTTCCACTGGCTGCCTCCCCTCCGCTTCGTGGCAAGGCCGAGGCAGAGCCCCCAGGAGCGCCCTTGCCTTAGCCTGGTCGATCTTGGCTGCTTGCCTGACACTGTGACCACCACCCTCAGCTTCTGGAAAGCCTCTTGGCGCTCAGCCACTTTCTGTTGACCTTGCCTCCTCATTTCTTCATTTATTTATTAGGACTTAGCCCAACAGTTACTAATAATTTTTCCAAAAATGTCTTAACTCCATGAGGGTGGGGACCAGGTCTTTCTCACACGTACACTTGTCCTCCCCTCCCCTGGCCCGCCCAGCCAGTCAGCCGAGCACCCATGCCCAAACCCTGAGGGCAGGCAACAAACATTCAAAGCTAATGCTCTGGCCCAGCCTGTGTGGCTCAGTGATTGAGCGTTGACCTATGAACCAGGAGGTCATGGTTCGATTCCTGGTCAGTGCACATGCCCGGGTTGCGGGCTCAGCCCCCAGTAGGGGGTGCGCAGGAGCAGCCGATCAATGATTCTCTCTCATCATTGATGTTTCTATTTCTCTCTCTCTCCCTTCCTGTCTGAAATCAATAAAAATATATTTTAAAAAAAGAACGTGGGCTCCGGGAGACAATCCTGGGACTGCATCCCTCCTTAGCCACTTGCTCAACGTGTGACCTTGGGCAGGCTGTCTGCCTTCTCTCTTTTTTTTTTTTTTTTAATATTTTATTGATTTTTTACAGAGAGGAAGGGAGAGAGAAAGAGAGTTAGAAACATCGATCAGCTGCCTCCTGCACATCTCCTACTGGGGATGTGCCCACAACCCAGGTACATGCCCTTGACCGGAATCGAACCTGGGACCCTTCAGTCCGCAGGCCGACGCTCTATCCACTGAGCCAAACCGGTTTTGGCATTGTCTGCCTTCTCTTAACCTCAATCTTCTCACCTGTGCCTGAGAAGTAACAAGACAAGGCAAGGAAAGAGCCCAGTGACACTCTGGCCATGCAGGTCCTCAGTAAGTATCTTTATTTTCACTACAATTCATCGTGGTCTCATCATCGTGTTCATTCATGCACATTCCCTTCCAGATGTGGTCTGTATGCAAAATCTTTTCTTTCTTTCTTTTTTTTTACATTTTCACCAGCATGTATTCTGCTTTCAAACTTTAAAAAACAACATTCTTGAATATTTAGTTCCCATGTGACTAGCATTGTTTCACTGACATATAAAAAGGGGGTTCCACCCCCACCCCCCGGCATTTTTGGTGGGTTTGTTTTTATTTTTATTCCCTCCCTGTTTTATTTACCCCAAGCTCTTGGTGTAACAGGGACAGGCAGGTTCTTGACAACCATCTCCTCCTCCGGCTGCACCTGCTGGCTCAGGGGCCCTCAGAAAGGGTCTGCGTGCAGGCCCTGCCGCTAACTCGCCCTGGGCTCCGGGCAAGTCACTCCCTGTGCTCCCGGCTCCCTTCTATAAACAATGACGCGCTCTGTCCACCCACTCACAGCACAGAAGCGCTGTCCAAACAAACATGCTAACCATCACCGCCACTCACGGACTAGAAACAAACACGAGTCTCTCTCAGAGGCACAAGGTCTTAAAAGCTTCCTGGGAAATGCCTGTCATGGTCATGTTCTCTGCCAGGGAACAGAGAAGGCACTTGAAAATTCTTGCTTCAGAAGCAGAAGTGGTGGGCCCCAGTGAGCCAGTAGGCGGGGTTCAGGGACCCCATCCCACTTCACTTAGCACGTCTGCCATTGCCCGTCTTAAACCTTGGGGCTGCCTCAGAGGATTTAACAGGCACCAAGTGTAAACCATTCATCTGGGCCAATGTACCCACTTTGCAGATGAGAAAACTGAGACCCTATGAGGCGAAGGGTGTGCCTGCCAGCACCATTCTGCATGACCCTGAGCTGTTTCCAAAGCATCCCTGAAAGGGTGGCCTCAAGATCTGGAATGAGAAAGCATGCAGATCCTCCAGGGAGGCTCAATTGGCCTGGCGGGACGTTCTGGAAAATTGGAAAAATCCCTTCTGTCTTCTCAAGGCCTTTAAACCAGGAAGCGGGTGCGGCCTGGACACCACTCTGGTGGTCAGGAGGTGCAGACGGCAGAGTGAAAGTGAGAGGGGCCAAGCGAACAGTAACAGGTACGACATGTAAAGGCCGGGAGCTCCCTGACCCGCCTCCCTTTGCTCCAGGGACGAGCTGGGCCAGTGACAGAAAAAGAAGGGCCCCTGCCCCGGCCCTGGCAAATGCCAGCAGAAGGAAATAGCCCTCCTGCCACCTGGCGGGGTGGCTGCCCGGGGCCTGATCTCAGCTAATTCGGCAGCGCGAGGGGAGGACACCACCCCATATCAGCTCTGCGTCTCCAACGCACCCAGAGACCGGGCGCGACGTGGAAGAATTGCCATCGATTTTCACTCGAGCGGGCTGACCGCACACAACCAATCTGTCAAGGGCCTGTCTGCCCCGCTGCTTCCCGCTCATCCTAACCACATGCAAATGAACTGTCCTGGCAACCAGAGCGACCGTCAAGGCCCAGCTGGGCAGGGGCCCTGGCTTCCGCTGCTCGGATCAGCCCAGCGAACGCCCCGCTGCTGACCGCCATTGTGCAGCCACATTCTGAAGGCCCGGGAATCGGGATGGCGGCAGCTGCTGCCACGCTCGGAGCCGGTTGGCCATGCCGGGGAGGGGGCTCTGGGGAACTAGGCCCAAGTCCCACTCGCTCCAACAGGGCCTGGCAGTAACATCCTCACTTGCTTCTTCTGATCTCCGGCCCCTCATTTTTGGAGGATTTATGGTATACGCACAACCAGGAGGCACTGAGTTCTGGTCCTGGCTGTGCGCTGGCCAAGTGTCCTCAGGCCAGCAGAGATGGAGGTGACACCACCCAGGGAGCCTGGGGCCTTAGAGGCCAGGGGTCCGCCTGCGTGTCCATCCCTGTTCGCCCACTTCCTAGCTATGGCCCAGGCCGGCACCGTCGGCTCAGGGCCTCCCCTTCCTCATCTGTGCTCTGGGGCTGACAACGGGGCCTGCCTCCTCGGGGGCAGGTGGTGGGGACTAACGGAGAACAGACAGGACTGCAGGGCCTCACACCCCGAGTCCTTTCTTCCACAAGCAGGAGCTGGAGGTTCAGAGAAGGGAGCGATGTTCTTGGGGACACACAGCAAGGCAGAGGCATCGGGAGGGGTGCCACGTGAGGCAAGCACGAGAGGCTGATGGGAAGAACCCGGCGACGTCCTGCCCTCCTCAGTGGCTGTCACGGGAGGATGGGACGCGGGGACGGCGGGTCACGGGCACATCGTGGATGATTGCTTAAAAGGGTCAAACGCTTTATTCGCAGGCCTTTTTTGTTTGGAATACACAGGTTTCCTGCCGTCCAGAGAAAAGGGAAGCGGTGTCTGGCTGCAAGAGGTTTTGGGCCTCGCCTTGGGGCTCTGTCCCTCCCTTCTGCCTGCTGCTGGCCCAGGGGCTCCTCTGCTGTGGGATAAGGCACTGTGTGTTCTGCAAGAGGGTGCTCACGGCTGGCTGGTGGACAACGAGGCGGCCTTCTCAGGGGCTGCAAAGCTGAGGCTGCTGAGGGGTCGAGTTGAACTTGGGTCTCTGGCGAGGAGGCCTCGAGCTATGGAAACAGCCTGGCGGGCTTGGCACCGCTGCCTCCTCGAGGGCCCTGGCGTGGCGGCTTCAGGAGGGAATCATGCCTTTATTTCGTTTGCGGTCGGCCATGGTTCTCCGGTTGTGATTGGCTCGTGTCGACTTGTTCGCTTCCTTCTTCCTGCGTTCCTGGGTTGTCTCACGGTTCTGCCCGTGGCCCCGGGGGCTGCCGGCCACAGCTGCTGAGCTGTCATGTCGGTACCTAAGGGAGGAACGACCCATCCCCAGGAGAACCATCAGCCAGAGGAGCTCCGCCAGGAAGAGCCCCGGCCTTCCTTGAAGATCCCTGGGAAAGGGCGCAGCTTGGGCCAGGCCCCCCATGTACCCCCCCTTCCAGCGGGAGGAGAAGTGGAGCCTCGCGGGGGCGGGGCTCGGGGCCCTGGCAGCTGTGCCTGGTGATTTCTCTTCTCTGAGCCTGGCCTGCGGATGGGACCCTGGCTAGGCGGTGAGGAAGGACCAGCTGGTGCGCAGCCCACACCAGGGGAGGAGGAAGGCTTGGGGATGGGTCCCCTTCTCCATCCGGGGCCTGGTGCTGGCAGCCACCAAGTGCCCTTCTGGGCTCTTTCAGTGTTACAGTCTGCCTGACACCAGCCAGCAGGCTGGACACATCGGGCTCTCACACGAGGGGACACACGCCTTGAGCATCTGTCAAGTATTGGGTGTAAGGGTGGGCCGCAGAGCTGGGCCACCTGGACTTCCCGGATGGGCTCCCTCCCACCAGAAACAGCTCCTGAATGCTCACCCCTTCCTGGCGAGAAAGGCCATGCGCCTGGCTTCTGCCTTCTCCCGTAGCACCGCAGGGTCCTGCACAAAATGGTCGGGCTGCGGAGGGGAGGGGGAGAGAGAAACACGCGTCGTCCCAGATCCCCAAGCTGCGGCGAGACGCACTGACTGAATCTTGTCGATGCCTCCATGCCAGGAGCCGGGGGAGCCACAGCAGGGCAGGGCCCGGCCCCAAAACGCCGCCTCTGTCCCTTCCCCCAATTCCCCAAGGGGGAGGCGGCACTAGGGACTGAGGGTCCCGGACGGCATGGTGGGGGGGTGACTATAGCTGAAACATAACGACAAATGGGAGCGATGGGGGCTGGTGGCCTGGCCCTGGACCCATCTGAATTTATCACCCTGGTGGGGGCCCGAGGGGACCCAGGGGCCCTCGGCTGCCCCTCCATTCAACCTGAGCATCACCACTTTTCACTGTCCTCTGTGTTGAGGTTCTAGTTAGATTTTATTTGAAGAAAACGTTTAGCTGCTAAAAAATAAAACTTTCAAACCCACCAGCCCAGATGGTCTCCCAGGGCCCGTGGGCTCTAAGGCTTCTCTGATTTTAGAAATTGCCATCCTGGGCACGGAGGCAGGCAGCTGCCCTCTCCCGGCCCCTGGCTCCTGGGCCGAGGGAACCCAGCAGCTCAAAGGCACGGCCTCTGATCCATTCCCTGGGCCCTCCCTGGGCAGCGGAGGCGAGTCCGAAGCTAGCAGCTCTCCGAGCAGACATCTGGGCTTGAAGGTGCCCTCTCCGCCGGCAGTGAGGCGGGGCTGCCTCCAGGCCAACAGGATGGGGTACAGTGCTCTCCACTGCCCCTTAAGAGCTGCGCCCTCCTCCCTCATCCGCCACCTGCCGAGGAGGTACCTTGGGGGCCTCGTCTTCAGCTTCCTCCTCCTCCTCGTCATCCTCCTCCTGCCCTTCTGTGGGCACTTTGGTTCTTAGCACTTGAGGGATGGTGAAGGGCCTACGGTTTAGAGAGAAGGTCAAATCAAAGGCAACATTAAACTCAGAGCCTCAGGGCAGAGGGAACGGGGCGGGTGAGGGGCCCGATGGGACAGGCTGGGGAGGCTGGGAAAAACCAAAGTGCCTTTCCCGCCGGCTCTGCTCCAGCCCCCGGATTCTCTGAGGGCCCCAGGGTCTGACGTACGGGCTTGGGGGGTACTGAGCGTGGGCCGGGGGCTCTCTAGTTCACTTTTCATCTGTACTGGGTAATCTCCATCTAAACCCACTGGGAAAGGCTTTCTGCAATTGAGAACAGTGTGAAAATACTGCATGAAGTTAAATTAGGGGACCCACTGAGGGTGGGTTGGACCAACCAGCCAAGGGGTGACTGGCTGGAGAGAGCACTGGACTCGGAGTTTGGGCCCTGGTTCTGCCACTGACGTGCTCATGTGATCAGGGCCTCGGCCTCCCCACGTGTATAAACAAGAGGCTCTGGGAGAGCCCGGGGGCCCGAAAGCCACGCTGCCCCCGGAATTCCACCCTCTACCTGCCCCGTGGCCTCACCTGCGGCTGATGAGCTCATCGTCGGAGTCGGCATCGTTGGCGCCCACCTGGTTGCCATCATACGTGTCGTCATACTCATCCTCATAGTCATCGCCGCGGTAGGACAGGCCCGTGATATCTTACGGGCTATTCGCAATTCCCTACACATAGGAGGGGCCCAGCGCCCGCTGGTCCTAAAACCCTTCATCACCTGAGCCCCCGCAGCCCCCCCACCCACCTCCTCCACCACCACACGTACTGCTCGGAGCCCCGCAGCCCCGGCACCCACCTCCTCCACCACCACACGGTACTGCTCGTAGCGCTGCCGCTGCGCCGCCACCTCCCGCTTGTCGTTCAGCAGGCTCCTCGCGTTCTCCTCCTTCCTGGCGTTGAGCGGAAGCAGCGAAGGAGAGAGGAAAGGACCATCAGGCTCCGGAGGCTGTGTCCAGGGTCCAGAGAGACCGTGGGCTCCCTTCTTTACCCTCAGGCCAGAGCAAACGGGGACAACTCCTATCCAGCCCTGGCGGGGTGTGAGGGGGTGGGACTCACCGCTGCTGGTGCCCATGTGCCCGGGCCCAGCGCTTTAGAGGGCATCCCAGGAGCAGCTGTTAGAATATAAAACAGCCCTGACTGGTTTGGCTCAGTGGATAGAGCGTCGGCCTACAGACTCAAAGGTCCCAGGTTCGATTCCAGTCAAGGACATGTACCTTGGTTGTGGGCATGTACCAGCAGGGGGTGTGCAGGAGGCAGCTGATTGATGTTTCTAACTCTCTATCCCTCCCCCTTCTTCTCTGTAAAAAATCAATAAAACATACTTTAAAAAAAAGAAGAATATAAAACACCCTTTAACCAGAAAATTCCCCTTCGGGGCACCCGCCCTAGAGAAACGCTGGCTGTGTGCACCAAGAGGTCTGCCGGGGGATTTTCTGTTTTCAGCATCGTTTGTGAATCGTGAAAATGGAAAGCAACCAATGCCCATCACCAGTGAGATGCTAAATGACCTGGGACACACCTCTACCACCACACGCCGTGCGGCAGCTCTCAAGAATGACATCGATCTGCTTATGCGGATGGAGAAAGAATTCTGAAGAGGAAAAACCCGGCTACAGAAAATGCATACAGCACGATCCCATCTGTATGAAAGGCTGAAAGCAAGTAAGACTGCCTGTTCCTGTGGGCACGTCTGTACCTGTGTACGTAAATGCACAGAGGGGTAGTGAGCCTCACCCAATGACAGTGGGCACTCCCGGAAGGGTCCGGGGTGTGTGAATCTTTTAAAACAAACATTTAAGAAGGAGCAAGGCCACATGGAGTTTTCCTACTGAGCTCACGGGAGCCCCAGGGGGTCTTGGGGATCAAGAGGTCAGGACCCCTCCTGACCTCTTCCTTTCACCCCCACTTCACCATGGTGGCCTTCTCATTGGCCTGTGCTCAATCTTGCATGTCATATCGCACGGGGAAAAATGCCTGTAAGTTCATTCCTGACGTGTCACAGATGAGGGAGCGCGGGTGCAGGGCAGGGGAGGGACTGCCCGGGAAGGCCATGAGCTAGCACAGCCGCAATGGGGACTCAGGCTTCTTGACTCATAGCTCGTCGCAATCTGTAGAAAACCCTGTCTGGCAACACCGAGCTATCTATCGATATATAGGTCGTGTGTACGCCGCGGGCGTCTAAAATCCTCCTATTGTGATACTCTCTGGATCACCAAATAAGTTTAATTTAAAGAAAAAACTTTACCCCCTCAAAAAACCAAAAAGGGGAAAAAAAAAAGGGGGGCCCC